TTATTTATTTAAAAATATGATTCTGAAATTAAGCACTTAACCAAAATTTTTTTTATTTAAGGATATATATGTATGTATAAATGAATTATAAAAAAGAGTATAATGATCACTGCATATAACTTCTGATTGGAGGAACTTAATACAGTGAAAAAAACATTCATGATATAAACTGTTGGCTATGGTATTGTCTGCTTGTGGACTTAATTTTTGTAAAAATCTACCGTTGTTTTCTGGAAAGTCACAGAATGCTCAAGATACAAGCATTAATGTATAAACAACCTCAAAATATCACAAAGCAAATTTTATGCTAATCCCCTTTTCATTATTTGACTAAGTTTGTGGGCTTATGTGAAGAATTAAAGCCAGTTCACTGATTTTTTTTTTCTCCTTGACTTCATCAACTGGAGAAATTTATGGTCATAATTTGGAATACTGTATTTTGCTGTTCCTCTTTTCTGCCACTTAATCCCGTGTTCTCACCTTTTTCTCCCTCTTATTTGTCTGCTATTAGAGAGCAAGCTTTTTGAATGCACAGAGCAGACCTTATTTATCTGTGTACACTCAGTGCTTTGCACATTTTTTGGTACACGGTGCCAGTTACCTGTTCTGTGAAGGTGCTGATGAAATCTTCCGGTTTCCTCCTCTTTTAGCACACTGAGCACCTCGGCCTGCTTAGATATGTGAACTCATGCATATCCACGTGGCTGGAACATCATGTTCCAGGCTTGCCTTGCCATCTGTGGAAACAGCACACGAGTAGTTTCACCATTCGGCTGCGTTTTACACATGCTCTTTAATTTGGCATGAATGGAGCAAAGGTTGGAAGCAGTAACTGAATCTCTTGTTCTGAATGGAGCTTATCATATTGTAGCCAATTTGATTTATGCATGACTGTATTTATCAGAATTCACAGAGAGGAAATGTCTTCTGGCTTTGTGACCAAAAGATAAGAAATCTGGATTCTCAATTAGCTCTGTAACTTTTTTTTTTTTTTTTAAAGATTTATTTATTTATTTGAGAGGCAGAGTTACAGAAGGAGAGACAGAGAGAGAGGTCTTAGATCCACTGGTCCATTCCCCAAATGGCTGCAATAGCTGGACCTGGGCTGATCTGAAGCTAGGAGCCAGGAGCTTCCCTTGGGTCTTTCACATTGGGGCAGGGGCCCAAGCACTTGGGCCATCCTCCACTGCCCTCCCATTCCATGAACAGAGAGCTGGATCAAAAGCAGAGCAGCAGGGACACGAATGGGCACCTATATGGGATGCCAGTGCCACAGGTGGAGGTTTAACCTGCTATGCCACAGTGCCGACCCCAGCTCTGTAACTCTTAAAAGTACTCAAGCAATTTAAAGGTTCACACATATGTTGGTAAAATATAATCAATATGTAGGAATTATCTGTTATAAATATGTCACTATGCAGTCATGCATCCCTTGACAATAGGAATACATTCTGAGAAATGCATTGTTGGGTTATTTCATTGTCATGTGGCCATCACAGGGTATATTCACACACACTCAGGTGGCTATGGTAGCATCCTTGGGGTATAGTCTTACAGGATTGCCATTCTGCATGAGGTCTATGACCCAAATGTTAAATATATGGCTCATGATTGTGTTTAGTCTGTTGTCAGCACAACTCTGTAAGTTACGTGTTCATCAGAGGGAAGTTACTTATTATCAGATCACTTTTGAGGACTTGTTGAATTCTCTATTGTTATTTTTATTATAATTGTAGATTACTTATTTTTTAAAGATATTTTATAGATCACAAGTTTTCTATTTGATAAAGCAATATGGGGCCGTTGCTGGGGGATACTGCCTATAGCATCATATCTAGGCGCTGATTCAAATCCTGGCTGCTGCACTTCCAATTCAGTTACTGCTAATGTGCCTAGGAAAGTAGTAGAAAAATAGCCCAAGAAGCTCCTGGCTTTGCTCTGGTCCAGCTTTGGCTATTGTGGCAGTTTGGGGAGTGAACCAGCAGTTGGAAGATCGGGCTCTCTCTGTAATTCTGAATTTCAAATGAAGTAAATTAAAAAAAAAAAAAAAAAAAGAAAAGGCATTGTGATTAAATTCTGAGTTCTGGATAATCAAAATTATCTTCTTTGTTAGTTTTTATTCAAGGAGTTTTTCCTAACCAGTGGACTTTTGGGTAAAAAATTCTTTATGGAAAATTTGAAGCATATTCAAAACCAGAATAGTACAGGTCTCCCTGTGCCTATGAATCAGCTTTAGCAGTCAGCTCATAGCCAAGCTTGCTCGGTCTGTATCCCCAGCCATTCCTGTATTATTTGAAATAGTCCTGGACAATGTTTTTTTTAATCTGTAAATATTTCTGTGTTATTTCTATGAAATAAGAACTCTAGAAAAACCTAAACGCGTGATTATCATTGTCACATCCAAAAATAACAACATTTTGTCAACATTTTATATCCCATGTGCAATTGCTCTTAATTTATTGATGTGTTCCCCATTTTCTCCCTCTGTTGCCCTTGTGCTGTGTGTGTACATGTGTTTGTGTGTTCACGTGTGTGTGCCGAGTAAACCAGGTCATTTACTTTCCCACTGTCCAGATTTTGTTGATTGTGTCTTTGTAGTATTGTTTAAAATGTTCTTCTTTTTTCATTGGTATTTTATCAGAATTGGGAGTCAGGGTCATAGGGAAAGTATGATTTTATCTGTACTAGATACGCCTTTTTGAGGAAATATTTTAGTGTAACAGAATCATTTGAGCAGACTGATTGCTCTGGGCAAATAATACACTAGTAGCTTGACTTTGGACCAAAATCTTTCGCCCTGGTGAACAGGGTTAATTATGTGTTAGCGCTGAGGCTTTGCCTCCACTAGAAACTGTGCAAATAGGTTGCTTGAGGCTGTCTTCTCAAAATTTGTTGCTTCTGATTTGCTGTGATGTAACCTTGTTAGAGCCATATATAAAAGCAGTTGGAAAAAGGCTTTGAGTGAAGGCTCAAGTTGTGTTTCTTTGAACAAGTTCTATTTATGTGACATGAATTTTGAGATTTTTAGAATTTTATGCAGTTTTGAAATTTTTAGATCTTAGAGTATATGGTAGTGGTGATTTTTTTGGTAAATGTTGTTAGCTTAGTTCAGAAACACATGTTAGAAAGTAAGTTGTCAGATAAGAAGAGAGCTTGTTGGTGAAATTAGTCTGATCATCTGAGTTTTGGGCTGGGAATGAAATGAGGTAGATGTTAGTTTTCTGTGGCTGCTGTAACAAACTTAATGGTGTGCAACAAATTTATTACCTTACGCTTCCCGAGGTTGGAAGTCTGAAATCAAGGCATGGTGGTGTTCTTTCCTGTGGTGCACAGGGAGAATTCATGTTGACTTGTCCAGTTTCTGGAGGCTGCCCATGTTCCTTGGCTTGTAGCCCTTCTACCACCCAAAGCCTGCAGTGGCCATTTGAGTCTTTCTCTTGTTGCATTACTCTGACCTTGACCCTCTGCCTCCTTCTCACCTTCAAGGAATCTCATGATTACATTGGAGTCACCTGGATAATCCAGGATAGTCTCCTTGCTAAGGTCAGTTGATAGGCAACTTTAGTCCCAAATGCAACTTTGTATCTTTGAAATATAATATATTCACAGGTTCAGGCAGGGATGAGAATGTGGACATCTTTTGGTGTTGGAGCATTATTCTGCCTACTGCACTAGGTGAGCAGAGTTAACAGAAGGCAGGTGCTGCTTTTTGCAGTAATGTAGTTCTTGACTTCCTGTGGGCATGTACCTCTGCTGGTCTTGATAGGGTCATATTGAGAACTCATGGCATTACATCATTAGGTACTGATGTTTATTTATAATGTTCTAACAGTTAAAAGTTTACCTTATTTAATATAACCATGTAATTTCATCAATCTTTTGATATGCCAACTCTAAATAACTTTATGAAGTGTTGTTTCTTTTCATCTTTTAATTTCTATTCAGAAACTTAAATTTTTTTCACATTTGAGTTTTCTGTGAAAAAGGTTTGGAAAAGGGAAACTACTGTGTGTGCTGAAGTGCATCTTTTTTTTGATAAAATGGGAGGCTGGTAGTGACTGGCATTTTGCGAGTTTAAATGTTAAAGGAGTTTGATGGGTGTCTGTCATATGGGGCAGCAGTAGGTTGTGTGAGCAGAACACCATGTAGACATAGACGTGAAGCCTTGTTTGGAAGTCTTTTTCTCACTCTGAGGCCGTGGGCAATTTCCGAAGCATAAAGGAATCTGCGTGTTTAAATGTGAAAGAGTCTGTGGCTCCTATCTTGTTATTTCCATTGTCACCTATCATTGAGAACATCACAGAATTTATTGATAACTGATAAAAGTCTTCCTTTTAATGTATCAGAACTTTTACTTTCAAATGTACACAGTAATGTTTTTTAACTTTTAATATATGTTAGGCTGTTTTCCCTGTTGGCAACTGGCCTCTAACTGCTAATGGATTGTAACAAGTAGAAAAGTGGACCTATCACAGTGTGCAGCTGAAGTTCTAAAATGTCTTACTTCTGAGAAGGTATTGCTGTGTGGGTCTTCGCCATCCAGGCACTGTTGCCTCTGTTGGCTATCATTTCCTTCTGTTCTGTAGCTGTGTCTTTCTTGTCTCAGATACATTGCTGTAATTACATAGATGTGTCTGTGTGAGGCTACACATCTGCTTATTAAGGTTTGTTAGTGTTGATACAGTTTCTTTAATATTCAGTGACCAACCTTAAAGCATTTTTTTCCTGATTTTTAAGTGCCCATATGAGTTTCAGGTGCCTTTAAAAAGCATTTAAAAATTTAAAAAAGCTTTTAGGAGCGTTTTAAACTTATTCTTTTTAAATGACAGTGACATTCTAATTGAAAATCCATTTGGTTTTCTTTTGATTGTTTCCTTTTAAATATTTACCTGTTAGGTTTATAGTATACTGATTTTCCTTTAGTTTTCTTCATGAAAATGTTTCTGCTCCCTTTGTTTTGCTGTCCTTTGCCATGTTTCCAATTTCTTTTTCTTTTGTAGACTTTTACTAGTTGGTGGATGTGAAACTCCTGGAGTAGGAATTTCCAAAGCTGCTAGCTGTGGCCTTTCTGCCTGGAGAGTTCTTTCAGGGTCACCTTATTATAAGCAGATTACTAATGGTGGTGACAAGGTGACCACGGTGAGTATTACTTACAGAATTTCACTTTTTTGTTTGTTTGTTTAAGAAGACTTATTTATTTGAAAGATACAGAGAGAGAGGGTTTGTCCATCTACTGGTTCACTCCTCAAATGGCTGCAACTTCCATGGCTGGGCCAGGCTGAAGACTGGAACCTATAACTCAGTTTGGGTCTCCTACTTGTGTGGCAGGGACCCAGGCACTTGGGTCATCTTCCCCTGCTTTCCCAAGTGCATTAGCAGGGAACTGGATCAGAAGTGGAGCAGCCAGGAACTGGTGCTCATAAGGGATGCTGGCGTTGCAGGCTGTGACTTACCCTGCTGTGCCACAACTCCAGTCCCAGAATTTCACTTTTCAAATTAGTCTGAAACAGATGAACCCTTTGTAAGATATAGAGGAGGAGATAATTTTATTGGAAATGAATAAATCTTGCTATTCTGTTGCCTACTGTCATTGGGAATAACATGTAATTCATTACTACATGTAATTGTAATACTTCCTTTAATGAATCAGAATTTTACTTTCAAACTTAAAAATATTTTTAGATTTATTTATTTTTTTAAATTTATTTGAAAGGCAGAGTTACAGAAAGAAAAGAAGAGAGGTAGAGATGGAGAGAGGTCTTCTGTCTGCTGGTTCACTCCCCAAATGGCTGCAATGGCCAGGGCTGGGCCAGGCCAAAGCCAGGAGCCAAGAGCTTCTTCCTGGTCTCCCACATGAGGGCAGGAGCACAATCACTTGGGCCATCTTCTGTTGCTTTTCTAGGCTCATTTGCAGGGGGCTGGATCAGAACTGGAACAGCCAATACTTGAACCTGTGCCCATATGGCATTGCAAATGGTGGCTTAATCCATTATGCCACAATACCAGCCCCTAGATTTTTTTTGACAGGTGATTATGATGTCTCTTCTACAGGTCCCTGTCAGATGTATTCAACTCAATATAATTCAGCTTCATAAAGTGTGACTTTTGGGATCCATTATTAGTCATCTTAGTTCATATAGTAGATACACAGTCATGTCTTTTAACATTTAATGTGTATTAGACTGTTTGCGCTGTTGATAATTAGCTTCCACTTGCGAATGGAATATAATAAACAGAAATACAAACAGTATAAGCTCTGTTTTTGTTTTTGGCAACTATTCCAAATGCTTTTACATGTATTATTAGCTCATTTAATTCTAAGTAACCTTGTTCATTAAGTTGCCCTGGTTTGCCTCTAGAAGGGGCAGAAGTTCCCCAGTTCAGGTTCTTAGTTATCATAGTCACTTCTTTCCATTTGTCTTGGTCCACATTTATATGGATTATTCAGCATTCATTCATGCTTTCTGTAATCATTTATTGAGCTTCTGGTTTACATCACACTCTCCTTTAGGCTGTACTTGTCAGTGTAGGCTAGACTTGTTCTGAGCATTCAATCACAAGAACACACAAATGAAAAGTCCTTATATTTATGTGACTTACTACATAAAATTTACCCCTTATTTGTGGCAAGGCCTACTGTTCATCTTATGCCTCTCCTGGCCTGACTAATGTGTGATGGTTTGGAGAGTGGCAGTCTCTTGAGGTCCCACTATCTTTTTTTTTTTTTTAATAGAAAACTTTTATTTAATAAATATAAATTTCAAAAGTACAACTTTTGGATTATAGCAGTTCTTCCCCCATAACCACCCTCCCATCCGCAAACCATCCCATCTCCTACTCCCTCTCCCATCCTATTCTTCATTAAGATTCATTTTTATATACAGAAGATCAACTCTATACTAAGTAAATATTTCAACAGTTTGCACACACACAGACACACAAAGTATAAAGTACTGTTTGAAGACTAGTTTTACCGTTAATTCTCATAGTACAACACATTAAGGACATAGGTCCTACATGGGGAGTAGGTGCACAGTGACTCCTGTTGTTGACTTAACAATTGACACTTATTTATGAAGTCAATAATCACCCGAGGTTCTTGTCATGAGCTGCTAAGGCTATGGAAGCCTCTTGAGTTTACAGACTTCGACCTTATTTAGACAAGGTCATAATCAAAGTGAAAGTTCTCTCCAACCTTCAGAGAAAGGTACCTCCTTTGATGGCCCTTTCTTCTGGGATCTCACTCACAGAGATCTTTTATTTAGGTCCTTTTTTGCCATAGTGTCTTGGCTTTCTATGCCTGCAAAACTCTCATGGGCTTTTTAGCCAGACCCGAATGCCTTAAGGGCTGATTCTTAGGTCAGAGTGTTGTTTAGGGCATTTGTCATTCTATGAGTCTGCTGTGTATCCCGCTTCCAATGTTGGATTGTTTTCTCCTTTTTAATTCTATCAATTATTGTTAGAAGACACTGTTCTTATTTATGTGATCCCTTTGGAGGTCCCATTATCTCAATTCATGGCCTTAGAGTGGAAAGAAAGGGATAAAAACATAAAATTTTTTGCTGTTTTACACTAGAAGCATCACTCTGCTCACAATTCATTTATTATAACTAATCATATGCTTGCCTCCTGGTTTCAGGGGGCTTGCAAGTTGTTTTCTGTGTGTCCAAATGGTGATTACTAATATTGTCTTCCATACTATCTACCTTATAATTTTATTGAAAGGCAATCACAAAACACTCCAAACACTAGAGTAAGGAAAAAGCTTACTGTTGGCCAACAAAGCTGCCTTTTCCTGCACAAGACAAAGAGCAGCCTGACCCAGGAGAACAGGTCTTATATAACATAGCAGAGATAAGGAAGTAAGAACAGTAAATTCCATTGGGTGGGGGGAAGACAATATGTATGGTTGGGCCATTTGGACACCTGATTTCTGGTAAACCAGGCTGGATTTAGGAAACTAAAACTTATCTTGGAGAAACTGAAGCTTATTGTACAAGATGGCAACTGGGCCAGAGCCTAAAATGATGCCCAAAGCTTAAGATGGTACCCCAGATAAGATGGCACCAATTTCACCAATATTTGCCTCTTTCGTTGTTTATAAAGCAAGCGTTGTATGAGATTATATCAGCTCTAAAAGCCCAGGAGAGGGTAGAGGGATGATGATCTATCTTCTGGAGTTACTTCCTGCTGTCACGGGGTGACAAGTCACTCTTTGCTGGTGGGGCGACATATTAAGATGTGATCTCTTGGCTTGGAAGCTGAATATATCCCTGTAGCAGCATTTGGTTGACAACCTGGTTGATGAAGGCTCTGCTTCATTCCATTATCACCTCCTGTATGCACTTAAACAGACAAGGTGGTATAAAAGCCAGGGTTAGAATAGCAGCCAGTGGTCCTAGGAGTGGCATTAACCAAGTGGTGAGGGGAGTCCATAGGGAGGAAGTGAGGAGAGGTTCTCTAGACCCTAGGCAGATTGTTTAATAGATGTAGCAATTTTTGGAGAGTTTTAACATTTTATTCTACCTGGCCTGATTTATTAACATAATAACAACATTGTTTTCCCAGCAAAACACAAGTTCCCACTTTTCCAGGAGTTATAAGGTCCAGAGCTCATCTCTTGTAGCACTACACCTGCTAGTGAGGTAATGTGATTTTGAAGTCCCTTGATGGCATCTGCCGACATCTCACTGGATCTGGTGACCTCCTCTTGTAGTTGTTAGAATTGTTCTTGGGACCGGTTAATAGAGAGAACATTGTGGCCCAGAGAAGTTCCTGAGATCACCACCAAAGAGAGGGAAGCTGCAAAGCTGATTCCATCTAAGACTGAGAGAAAGATCACTCATCTCTTGTGGATAGAGGGGTTAGTCTATAAAAGGGATTTGAAGTAGTCATGTAGTGTTAGTTAGGGGGAAAGAATCACCAATACACATGGACCGAGTGTAGAACTGTTACAGGTGTATAAGGTATAATTACAAAGAAGTGAGGCTCCAAGTGGGCTAGAAAAGGACGTAGTGGAAGTGATGGTCATATTGATAACACAGGGAATGTTATGTGGCATAAGCTTGTCGGGTTGTTTTGTTATGTTGGTAATCCAACACTTTACATCTTGTCCTCCAGAATGTAGAAGAAGATGCCCGATGATTTTCTGAGGATTAGGGGTACAGGAGTTTGTGGAAACAGAAACATTAGTGAGTAGAGTAGCTGTGATGGGAGGTTTCTGAAGGGGAGTGCATATAAAGCATTGCTGTTGGTAAAAGGCAGAGGGTAAAATAGAATTGGGTAGTTGATAAAGTAGGGTAAGGGACAGATTGATTTGTCCAGGTTTGGCCAGGTTAATTAGCTAGGCCAGGTGTTTAGAGGACTCCTTTACTGTATCAGCCACCACATCTGTGGGAGCTGTCAGGGGCTGAGTGAAGGCCCTGATAATTTTTATGGTTCCATGGAGATCTTTCAAATTGGAGCCCATATACAGAATGATGGATCCCTCGACTCCATCTTGCCAAACCTGAAGGTACGGATCAGTTATAGTGAAAATCAAGAGGGGTTGTGCCTGTGATGTGTCTTCAACTTTGGGCAAGACCTTAGAGAGTTGTTTTCCTGGGAGGCCATACCAATGGTCAGTATAGTAGTACTTACAAGACGTCTTCATGATGAGCAATCTTTCCAGTAAGCATCATTACATGATCCTGTGTTATTCTTGGTTAAGCAGAGATAATATGCATGTCTCCAGTTGAGATAAAGTATATCTAGTTCAGTCAAAACAATTGCGTGAGCAGACCTGAGCAAAATTGAAGTACAGAGTGATAGGGCCTGCACAGCCCATGATGGGGCAGAAGGTAGGGTTAAATAATTTAGTGGGAGTGGAAGTAGTGTAAATATGAAATAGCCATGCATAATGTGTTCCTGGGGCCAGTGTGGATACAGGATGGACACAAAAGAGCAGAAGCAATGAGATTATCTTGGTGTATGAAAAGGGAAAATTTATCTTGGTGTATGGAAGAGGGAATTTCATCTCAGCGTGTGGAAGAGGGAATGAGATATTAAGAGGAGATAGGGGAAAGTGTAGATCTCAAGAGGAGCGAAGTCTGAGAAAGTTCCCTGGAGGTGTAAATCTTTAATATCTGAAAGGAGCCAGG